TGCATCCAGGGTACAACAGCAGTGCTCCACCAGAGATTTGAACCTATTTATGAATTCAGAGGCCTACTCACTACTCCCACTTCATTTGTTACGAGTATATTATCATCTCTGCAATAAACTGATTGCATTTTTTTTTTAAACACTCATCCAACAAAAGTGATTGAGGGAGTAGCCCTTCTGCTTGAGGGAGTATTTACATACCATGCCATGAATTGTCACTGCACACTAAAAATACCAGCAATGCAAATTATTATCGTGCACTTGACCATAATGGAAAAGAAATCGCAATTGGTATTTTAATTACCAAGGACAGGTAATGAATAAATACCTGAAAGGAGCTAGGTGTATTTTCCTGTGGCAGTTCTGAGTTTTGTCAAACTGACCTGACATCAGTTTGAAAACGCAGTTGTGGTAATCTGAGCCAGAACTATGAAAATGTATGAAGTACACCACTGTAGACCCAGCAAGATGAGCTGATGTTGCCTGCATTGTTAATATTGATTATATTCTTTGGAGAGGGCTTGGACTGGGTTTTTACAGAACTATGGTCATCTTATTGTACGGCTGAAGTTCCAAGTAACCAGGGCAAAGGAGAAGCTCAGCAATAGAATGTCATTAGGAAGTAATATCAGGAGCACATCACACAGAGAAGTGATTATTTATTCAAGTCCAGGCCTTGAGAGAGAAAGGGTGCATCCAATGGGCACTCTCACAGCTTCCTTTTTGAATTATACCCACATCTTCTGCTGCCAGCTCTTCACCACTGAACATGACAAATTCCTTCTGTGTGTCCACTCTGGTTTTAAAGTCTTGTTTCCCACAGAGCCAGCCAAGCATTCTCGACTCAGCCTCTTGTTTCATGGTAATACACAGCCACAACAACAATATTTCACTTCTAACGGTCGTGGAGGGCGCAGTGGCTAGCATTTCTGCCTCGCCGCTCTGGGGTCCTGGGTTCGGCTCCGGACGTAGGCTGCTGTCTGCGTGGAGTTTGCATGGTCTCCCCGGGTTTGTGTGGGTTTCCTCTGGGCGCTCCAGTTTCCTCCCACAGTCCAAAGACTTCCTGGTAGGTGAACTGGCTTCTGGGAAAACCGGTCCTGGCTTGACTGTGTGCTTGTCTGTGACTGTGTGTGCCCTGTGATGGACTATCGTCCCGTCCAGGGTGTATCCTGACTTGTGCCCCACTGCTGGCGACCGTGAACTGGACGAAGCAGTTAGAAAATGGATGGATGGTCATCTGATATCGCTAAAGAGTTTATCAGGATGCCTACTCACACTGTATGTAGAGGCTAATCGAGAGGTACCTAATGTTGAAGACCACCAGTTTCTTCCTACTGTGCCAGCCCTGTGTTGTGAAATTCTCAGGACAGGGCATTTCTTATGCCATCATTTCAGGAATACAGCATTGAGCTTTCTTTTCTAGTGTAATCTCATTCCCACTCCATGATATAAGCCTGAACGACCTTTTTATATTGCTATACAAGAATAAGGAATCAAATGTTTCAAACCATAGGTTAGGAATTTTAAACACTTAGTTTGAAAAACTGCATTAGTGTTTGGTACTAAGCCAATCTCCCACTGATTCGATCTTTCGAAGGAAAGGCTGAGACAGTTACAGCAAAAGCTGAGCATGGCTATAATTCAAAACTTTATTGATTCTCTGTATAATTGATTTAAGTCACTTCAGGCTGATGATGGAGCAATACTCCAAATGCTAGCATCCCCTTTTCCAGTTCAGTATGTCTAACATTTCTGTTGCAAATCTCACGTATTTACATTGTGTTTGTTGCACGGCTCAGTCACAGACATACCCAGCAGTTAATGCACTTGAGACGTAGCACTCAGGAACAGTGCGTTCCATTTCTCATCCCCAGTGGCTCGTCCTTTTTTCATTTTTTTTGTTATTAAACCTTCAAGCATGATCCATTTGCATCGGTGGCGCGACTTTGACATTTACACTCCATCTCGAAATGCGTTTGGCCTTTGTGTGAAGTTTCATTGTTATGCAGTTAGAATGTGCTAATCCACATATATAACAGTGGGTAATACAGGCCATTAGAAGGCTCTAAAGCAGAACAGTAACTAATTTATTAGTCTAGCTTGAAACTGCCTACAGCAAAACAGTACATGGCAACTGACTTAATTTTACATCTAATGAATAGTATTTGTAATATGTTTTTTAACATACCTGCCATTTGTTGTTCCATCAGTAATTTACATGGATATATTTACACTGATAGAAAATCCACTTTTTCCAAAACACAATACTTTATTCCTTTAGGTCTAGCTAAAGTTGAGGATTTGCCAAATATCATTTTGCAAGTTTTTAGAGATCAGGGCAGCACAACAGTGCTTGACACTGCGGTCCCACACCTCCTGGATTCTGGGTTCAATTCCACACTGGAAGCCTTCTGTGAGGAGTCTGCATGTTCTCTCTATGTTCACGGGTGCTCCGGTTTCTACCCACCTTTGAAAGACATGCTGGCTGGATGAAGTGACTCTGAATGTTTCGTGTGAGTGCTTGCCCGGCGAGGGACTGCCATGTTAGTTCAGGGTGTAATTCTGCCTAATGGAATGAGGATAGCACTTTCTTCCTCATGGTTTTGTATGCATAGGAGACTAACCAAACCATGGTGTGGAACCTGATTCGGTGAGAACCTTGCAACACCAGTTGGAATGAGTTTCTTAACTCGTTTTCATTACATCTGCTGGTCTCCTCCTTTTTCTGGATTCCCAAGTTCATACTGTACAACAAGGGATGTTTTCAAATCTGCGAAAATCTCAAAACGCAAGCAAAGGTGAGATATCTCATGAAAGAGTGTTCACCGAAGGCATTGTGGTTGTGCTGTAGAGACTACATTTAAAGAGGCACAAATTGGGTTGAAAACATGATGACGGTTCATGTTTAGGTTAATGGTTTCCCACACTGGTGCACAGAACTGACACACTGTGAAGTCTGTAAACCTTTGGTGTCACGTATGACAAGAGAGCATAAAAAGATAAATATGTGTATTAAAGGTCATTTCTGTACAAACAAAACTGCAGTGCACAAAAACACCAATCAAACACCGTCAAAATACCTTTTTTTTTTTAGGCTGACAGCGCTAATTGAGTTAAAAAAAAACACCCTGCAGTTTTCAATGTTACTCCACAGGCAGGCAGTGTTACCCACAGGGTGGGACTCATGAACTGTCAGGAACAAATAGATTATTCTGGCTTGCCTGTTCCTTCAGCACACACGCCATTCCCCCCGAACACTCACGCCTGGAATATATGAGCTCACGGGACAGGGACATCTCAGTCGATAAAACGAGGAAGGTCGCAGTTGTTTTGTAGATGGGATGGAGCCCAATCCACAGTGCCAGTTAGTCTAGACTACAGATGTGAATGAGCAGCTTCAGTGCATTCAGAAGTCATCCGTTGTAAATATCCCAACCAGATGTCACCACTACAAACTATCCATGTGTTGACAGAACTGCTACTGTACAAATCTGTTTGTTAATCCAAAGAACAAAACAAACAAAAAGCAAAATCATCAAATAGGAAGTGCTATATTGCTCTCACAGCCCACAAAATTAAATACAGTGAACTTCATACTTTGATGATAAACTTTTAAGTCTAGCATAGCAATTTGATTTATTTTTTCTCAATACCTGAGGCAGAGAGATTTGTTATAAATCAACTTGGTTTGAAATATCCAAAGGAGTGCAAATTACAATACAGGGGGGTGAAACTGAAAAGGATCAATTCAGGAAAACCTTTACGAGACACTCAGAAGTAAATAAAAACTGTCTTGTTTTAGATTGGCAGTATTAATGTTTCCTGCATGTTATAGTGCAGTGAGATAGGGTTACGTTTCACCACTGGAACTAAATTGACTGAACTTTTGTGGCTTGTATTTTTAGTTTTTTGCCTTGTTGAGCTTGGCTTTAGTTCTCGGCACTGAGCAGTATTCCCACTTTTCTTTCATATTTTGTACAATTAAAGAATCCAAGTGCAGGTAAATTCATTTCAGAATGGTAAGCATTTAATCCTGCCTCTCCTGCGAATTTGTATTGAGAAACTGCTCATGAAAAGAAAACATGTAGGTAGTATCTCTCTATCTATGGAATAGTATTACCCAGTTCTCTTTTTTCTAATATGGTACGACTAAAAATACCCTTTTCTTCTTTTCTCCAATTCCAATCTGGGTCTTTTTCGCAGACTGTTCTGCATTTGAATAGGTTGTAATTGAACTGTCAAATCCATGAAGGTCAATAACCTTTGATTGGTCTTTCTTGGTAAATCAAAAGGTCTCTGAAGATTGGAAAGTAAATGGGGATTTGGGAATTAAGCTTTCTTTTCCAACAAAGAAATTAATAGCCACAAAAATTCTGAGAATGCAGTAAGGGACTGATTATTTATTAACATCTGAGCTGAAAGAACTCAATAGCCTTTTCTCTTCTTCCGTCTCAAGATTATTCCGTTCTCTAAATCTTTTGTTCCAAAGGCAAATTCCTCCATTGCGGCTGGGCTATGCAGTCTTCAGCATTGGCTATTGACGGATTAAGTTTTGTTTTGAAATGAGCTTTGTACTGTACAGTGCGTTTTCTAGGTATCGTTCCTTTTTAAGTGCTTGCAAATCCCTTTCCTAATTGGCCCTGAATTTTAATTTTTCTTTTATCTGTTTAGAAATTGTGAAATAAAGTGCCGTTACAAAACCCAACTAAAAACATCTCCCTCAAACGTACGTCTTGCATGTCCCTTTGTTGTAATATTAAACACGGCATTAAATTCTTCTTTTTTACGGCATACATATTCACTCTGTGCCTGTTTATGCATTATTGACGATTACAATTAAATTGCCTCGGCTCATCCCTCGTGTTCCTGGCGAAGCGGGAAAAAAAACAAGTGAGGAATAAAGGGAGTGCATATGTTATTGGTGTTCAGGGACAGAAATGCCACCTTTCAAACCCCAGCCCCTCTAACCTCCTAACAGCGGTGGCAGTGACATCCCTCACCTCCTCACACTTTCTCCTTCTCATTAACTTCAGCGCAGATGGCGGGTCCCTGCTTTCGCTGTGTGAGGCTGCCTGGCTGACGGTGTGGGGCTCGTGATAAACCTCTGAAGGATGAAGTCATCCTCAGGTCAGCGCCTCTTCGGGTCCCCCGCCCGTCCCACACGCAGCCCTCATTACCGGCTGAATAGGAGACAAAGGAAATTAACTCGCTCTTGCTCTTCGGCTGTATTATTTTCTCCCCGACCTTGAGAGGCAAGAAAAGGAAATGCCCTCCTGCCCACCCGCGCCGATCCCCGGCAGCTACACCAAGCCGCAGGAGTGGGATCGAGCTCCGTGAAGATGACCCCCCTACAGACAGCACAAACGATTAAACCCACCTCATTCGTTAGTGCTACGTTTGCGCCAGTGAAAGTAGCGTTTGTGCTGCTTTCGTTTCCAAGATTTTTGTGCTGCTTTCGTTTCCAAGCGCCTTGTTTTTTTCGGGGTCGTGACGTCACTCAGTCCCCCCTACAATGTTGTAGGGAAACCAAACCGGTCTCATTCGTTAGTGCTACGTTTGCTGCTTTCGTTCCCGAGATATAGCGCCTTGGTTTTCCGGTGATCACATGACCATGCATGGTGCCTTTGAACTCCAGTGACCCGGTTTGCCGGGTTCAAGCGCTCTGTTACAGTTTAGCTCTTACCTTTTAACATTTTAAAGACAATCAATATCCATAAATATATGGGCCTCCTTAGATGTGAATAATAGTACTAAGACATGCCAACAAGTTAACCATATATGACATAAACCTGTTGTTGTAATATATGTAAAATCACCGTGATTGTAGGATCTATGGTTTTTATTTTCTAAGGCACGTTTTCCTTTCTTTCCCTACCGTGATACGCTGTTGCCAAACGCGTAACTGTGGGATACCATCGAGACCTCCGCAGACCTCCGCAGCATGTCATGATCGGGACCCCATGTATATCGCATGTATATCGCGGCAGTATACATCACGACTGGCGCCGTGCTTCCATGCCACTCTGGCACCACGGTCACAACAAAGGTCTCATATCGGGACATGATATACCCAGATAGAACATGTTGCGATATAAGGGCTGCATTTCGCGACATGACAGTTTTTTTCACATCGCGATATATGGACTCCATGTCACATGGGGGGGTGGGCGTTTTGGCTGGGCATGTCATATCGCGATATAGGGCATTTCATGTCGCGACATGGGGCGGGGCATTTTTTGGCGGGGTATGTCATATCACGATATAAGGCCTTTCATGTCGCGACATGGGGGGGCATTTTTGCCGGTGTATGTCATAATAAGATATGTGGACTCTGTGTCGCGACATGGGGCGGGGGCGTTTAGTCGGGGTATTTCATTTCGCGATATATGGACTTAATGTCACGACAGTGGCGCCACGACAGTGATGCGCCAGTCGCAATGGGTATCGCGATGTGATCGTGGTGCGCGCACTCCTGTCGTGACGTTATCGGAGTCGTGAACGCGCTGTGGACGCCATTACATTCTTTGTCTGCTATTCAGTTTTGACCTCAGTGCGACTTCTCTTAGATTGATCGGTAATTGGAAACGAATGGATGTGTTACTGTATATCCAGCGTGCTCATTCAGCACACAAGGTACACACAGAACTTCCGCTGAGGCGCTTCACCCAATCAGAGTGTCGATTCTCACTCTTCACCCAATCGCGGCCCGAGCTGTTCGGGGGTTCAGCCAATCACGGGTCTGAGAGCTGTTCAAGCCGGCAGCGCCAGGTGGATCGGCTTGTTTACTGTCAATGAGAATCTATTTTTAAAATACTATACTTATTTGCAAAATAACTACATCGGCTTTAACGTCTTTATTGATTCACAATGTCCCATACTCTTCGAAATAAAAATATTTTTTTTATTTGCAGTATAACTGTCTCCGCTGCTTTCTTAAATGAATACATGGTATTTGAACAATTTTAATCGTATATTTAAGGTAGGGGAAACACCTTCGGCTTTGTACTTTAAAAATGAATAGAAATGTAAAGTCTATGATCATTATATTATTATGCTCGTGTTTTCAATTGTGTTTTTTTATTGTTAAATGATATCGATCTTGAAGCTAATACCTAAAAATGTGAATATGGGCTCTCGTGCTGTACCAGCGGTAATTTGGAAACTGGTGTATCTTCCCCAATGAAAGGAGTACACAAGCAATACATTTTCGAGAACATGGTTAGAACACATAACCCAATGAACTAAAATAGTAACTACTCCCTAAATGTAAAACTGTTTATTTGCATAATGGCTGCAAAGTCTGGGGTCAACAGATCAAAAGATCACAACTGAAAAGATCTGGTAGTCGTGACTTTGCTGACGTCAAATCCAGGAAAAGAAGGCGCTATATTGAAATAT